ATAACAGAGAGAGCGCAGAGGAAGCAGATGATGGGACGGACGGTGAAGGGAGCAATGAGTCGGAGAGCGACGATTGTAGTGATCGTGAGAGTGCCGGTGAGAATGTTAGCGTTGTGCGTAGGTTTTGTGGTAGCAAGTCTTCAGTGTACAATCATCTGTTGGCTAGTCCTGATTGTTGCAATTCGTATTCCGACTCTTCATTCACTGTATTGTGCCGTGGTCGTCATGGTTATGGACTACAGTTAAAGGTTTTGGAAGCCATCTGTCAGCGTCTGTATAAGCCTAATTTGTGTGTACAGAAAGATAGTATATATATATATATATATATATTTATTACAACATCTCAAGACTCGGTGGAAACACCGGCCAATGTTAAAGAGAGTGGGTGATTGCCAACCACGGCGATAAATAAAAGTAAGGGGAGGGAAAAAGAAAGAGTAGCAAAATGAACAGCAACAACTCCGTAAAGAAAGAGAAAGATAATGTCAAATAAAAACAGTGAAAAACACAGAGACGCAAAGGACATGTGGATAATGAGCTATGCATGTCGTAGTAAATAAGGGGCGGCACGGATCTTAAACAGGCGGAGTGAGGTCAGGTCCTTAACTTCTCTGGGTAGAGTGAGCCAAACAGAATAAGCAATAAAGAGAGGGGAGCGCAAAAGAGTGGATGAGTTACACTTAGGGAGTAAGAGTGAGTTTCTAGTTCTTAGAGAAGAGAACCAATTAAAACACATGAGATGAGGTGGGCACAACTCAAGCTTAATAGAATGGACAAGAGAAGCCAGGTGTGCACTGCGTCCATGTGATAACGGGGTTGTGTGAGCGATTTTATAAAGGGCGGATGATGAGAGCATGCGGGGTTGACGGAGGAGAATTTTAAGGATTTTCTTGTGATGTATTTCAAGCTTTGCAGCAGCGGAAGAGGATAACCCAACCCAAGACGTATCTGCATAATGAAATATTGGGCGAAGGTAGGCGAAATAAAAAAGAAGCTTGCAAGAAAGTGGGAGGTAGGAGCAGTGGGGGGAGAGAATTCCTAAGGATTTACTTGATTTTTTACAGATATATTCGATGTGAGGTACCCAAGAGAGTGCAGAGTCAATCACAATGCCAAGGTGTTTGTGAGAAGACACTATGTCAATTGGATTTGGAAAGTTGGCATGGATGAGGGTTGTGAACTCCGGCTGGGGCGGGAAGAGCATGATCTTTGTTTTTGATAGATTTGGGGACAACCTCCAGGACGACATCCAGGAAAGAACTTCCTGAATGCCAGCACGCAAGTTGTTTTTCAGGCCAGTGAGGGAAGCTGATGAGGTGAGAAGGGTCGTGTCGTCAGCAAACAGAGACGTTCCAGGGAAGACTGCAGGTAAGTCGTTTACGTAAATTATAAATAGTAGGGGACCAAGAATTGATCCTTGAGGAACGCCCGACAATACTGGCTCTGCAGCCGAGGATGTGCCAAGCACAGTTACGTACTGATAACGCCCAGAGAGATAAGATTTCAGCCAGGAGAGTGGCTGTTTGCGTACCCTGAATGCATGCTCGAGCTTTGCCAAAAGTCCTCGATGCCAGACGGTATCAAAAGCCTTGGCCAAGTATAATTGGGTTGAAATTGTTCAAGTAAAGTGTCATGTTTGGTGCGGCCAAGCTTGGCCGTTAATGTTCTAGGTGTAATGTACTGCTGTTATTTGTTATCACTTTGTCCTTCCTTCTTTCTTTCTCTTCTTTGTTCACTTTTCAGTTGCAAGTTTAGTGTTAGTACACACATTCGTTATTGCTCTCGCTTTCATTGTTAAAATTCACACTTGTAAATTTCACTGCTGTTGTTCTTAGTGTTATTTCTCTAACTTAGATTTTCTATAATAGTTCAATTTTGTTTTCAGTGTCCTTTAGTACAACGAAGATTCCTGATGAGTGTTGTACGAAAACTTGTTTGAATCCCTTTCTTTCTCTACACAATTTCTTCACATTATTCATCGTTTTATTGCACATTGTCTCCACAGTTTTACAATACATGAATACAGTGTACACAAATGTCGATCCAGCTTGTATTACTGATTGCGGTTATCAAATTGTTGTCTCCTCGCCGTTTGTTCAAATATTAACATTAACATTAACATTAACACCAACATTAACAACGTCATCTGTTAGTCACAAGTGTCATATCCAAACACTGATAATAATTTCCTACCTTACGAGAACTTTAGTTGCAACAGCCAAGGATTAACTTGTACATGTACAATCGCCATGTACATGTATGTGAGCTGATGGGCCTGGGCCGGGCCGTTGTACCGGTAGGACGGTAGGTAGTAGTTTGTACCATGCGGCAACGTCTGACTGTCGTGTACGAGCCTTCCCTATCAAAATAATATATTCCACTACTACTACTACTACTACTGGGTACTGGGACTTGGTGGCAAGAGTATGTACATGAAAACTGCTTCACGTACTCTTGTTGGTAGTACTAATATGAATGTACCGAGAGGGCCAGCCTCTACCCACACACGAGGCGGGAGAGGCGTGCTTCCTCATCCGTTCAAAAGGTGCTATGGGCGTCCGCCTTAGAAAATATCGCACTGCCGCCACATGCACGCCCAGAACAACTAACTTGTGCAAGGCCACCGCAGTTGTAGTAGTATTTATACTAGGAGTCGGGATCATGCAGCTGATTGGTGGCCTGATGCTCTCTACTACCGTGCACTACCGTGTACTGTACTTCGGTTATACAACTAATAGTAATCATGGTAATACTTCTGGTGTAGTTGTAGTGCACGCTGCCGTGACGCCGGTCGCCGGCCGGTCAAAGCGGTATGCTCCCGGGATATCCCCTTGCTTGGCCTTGTCATGCGACAAACCCGTGACATGTGTTTCTTGCGAGGACTTGCAGTTTTGGGAGATCTCCCCGAATGACTAATACACTGGACTTATTTTTACTTTGACGTGTTTTCCCCGAACGACGAGTTGCGTGACCGGTACTAGTGTTCTACTAGTATCTAGTGGAACTAACTATTAGTATTACTTACATGTATGGGTGATGTGTACAGCACAAGTCGAAACTGGCGACTTTTTTTTACAAGTAAGATGTTCACACACAAGCGGAAAAACCGTCAGAGATCAAATTCCATTACACAGTGTTGAACCGTTCAAGCAAGTAAGATGTTCGAAAGTCAAGAGTTGTCATGTACATGTATATGTACATGATTGTGACGCTGTGCGGCGTGCCACTCCGCAGGCTTTTCCAGGGTCTCTCCACTGATGATGTTATCAGGTACTAACCTAACGCAAGTCTAGCGTAATCCACGTCCAAAGTAACAGTTGCGATCATAGGTGCCCCCCCCCCTTCCTAGAATTCTGCTGCATTTCTGTATCCACATACATGTACTTGAAAATACCGCCATTCCGACAACAGGCTCTCAGCTGCACCAAAAAGATAACTTTGCCAATATTGCAAAGTGCAAGAAATACGCTGCAATGGAGTTTGGGAATTCTGAAGAAACACGTACATGTTGTACACTGTACATAGACCACACTATAAAGCAATTCAACGTCCACCAAACGCGCTCTCGGGCCGACCTCGCACAACATGACTCCAGCAACATGACTCCACGCACATGTACATGTACATGTATAGAGAAAAAATACAAAATTTGTCAGTTACAGTACTTGGAGTCATATTGCTGGTGTGTGAGGTTGGTCAGAGAGCACGTTTCGTGGACGTTGAATTACTTTATTGATAAACAGGCCGAAAGCTGCTGGTTACCCTTTGAGAACATGACATTTCACTCCTTAATTCACTCCAAAACAGTCTCTTCACTGTATTACACTGTTCATGGGCCAGGTCCGACAATTTCATGTAGTTCATGTACAGTATACAAACAATGTGTATACAGTACAGTATATTATAATACATGTTCAATGTACATGTACATGTACATGTACATGTACATAGCAGACTCAGCGGAGGACGTTCATGTTGGTTTTAATTCTGAGTTTCATGCCGTTAGGCAATCATCAGACAACTGATACTCGGGTCTACCTAACACTATGCTTATAAACACATAGGGCCACAAGCATAAACAAATTTAGCGCTAAATCTGGGGTAAGGTATGGGGAGAAAAGCTGGCGCGGGCCACGGCGCGACAGTAGAAGTGCCAGGAGGGTGGCGGGCAACAGGCAGGTATGTGAGCATGAAAGCGCGGAAAGAGGCGATGGGGAAGCAGTGTACAGCAGGTGGGAGGAGGTGCCAGGAGGATGGCGGGCAATGGGCCAGTGAGATCGCTAGGGGGGGGGGGGAGGGGGGGGGGGGTACATGTAAATACTACAATTATGACTGTAGTACAGTGTACAGGTGCACAATCATGTACATCGTAGTATAATCCAGGATCGTTCGAAAGCTACATGTACATTTCACGTTCTACTGATCTGATGACGATCCGGGTTGCCGGCTACTGTACCAGGGACAAACCCCGAATTGACATGTGGCGCGCAAGGAGCGTGTTTCCAGTACGAGAAGCATGGGGCGTGCGGCGCGTCACCTGTGCTCTTCTACTACTGTCTATCTTGGAAGCAGTGGCGATGGCGTGACTGATGCCTGTCCCGCCATTATCAGCATCCACAGCAGGCGGCCCTGTTTGATTCATCCAAACATGTTGACAATCCTGGCCAGCACGGCTACGCGCCAGTGCTTGGTAGAAAGAGCTGTCAAAATGTCATGCAGCTGGAACATTGCCAGGGGCCCACGGCCCGTCACCAACTAGTTTCCAGAGGCATTACGTGTTCCTTTCCTGTAGCGGACAAACCAGTACCGTTAGTTACTTTGACTTTCTACTCACGTACCCTGTCAGGTAATGTCTGCCTGGTTCTTCGAGGGAAATCCTCTTCCATGGTTGTTTGTTTTCTAGCCTCCATTTTCTAGTCCCTGGATATCTAGGTGACAAGACTGGTCACGTAGACCAAAGACGTCCATCGTAAACTAACAAGCATGCACAAACTTAGACTGCCGTGAAAAATCCTTGCTGCCAGCAGCCAAGGCCCAAGACTCCAGACTCGTGCGCCACGAGTCTCGCCGCTGGGCAATGCCATAAACCCGCCAGGCAACACAGCAAATGTACAATCATGTACAGTCACGTACAGTCACGTACAGTCATGTACAGTCACGTACATGTACCTGTACATGGAGCAAGAGTCGGTGTAGCCAAGGATATCGAGTTCAATTTTTAAGGCAGTTTGGGGTTCTGACTTCATCAGGTACTCTGTAGTCTGTACAAGCAGAAATATTCGTCTGGAATTTAATTTCGTCTTTTTCGTCCAAGGAGTTTTTGGACTCAATTAAATGCCGGACTAATATCGAGTTGTCCAGCTTTTCAATACTCTCTTCTTATGATCCATGGACGAAATTTACAACCGGACGAACTCCCTTTCTTTGGAGTTGGACGAAATTAGTGACCGACGAAGTTTTCTGCTTATACAGTGTCTGCCCTACATCCTGCTGTGCGAGATGCAGAGCGTGTGCTACGCGTTATGCATGTACATGTACATGTTTACTTGTCTTGTATTACGTGAATAGTATACATGTACATGTACATGCTTGTATTACGTGAATACATGACGTATACATGTACAAGTACATGCACCTGGTTAATTCAAACAGTCTGGAAGGCCCCATCACGGTCCACATCGCTGCATGTACAGAGCTAGGCCCACTGCACGCCATTTGACACCATAGTGGGAGAGTTGAGACTGGGCAATTATGTACAGTACGGTCGTACATCATGTGCCTGACTACATTATAGTACATATCGGAATATTGCTCAATGTGAAAACATTTACACATTACACATTGGCCACCAGAAGAAATCGATGCTTTACACGACAGAAAAAACGTGAAAAAAAACAAACAAAGTAGCAGCGTACTACGACAAAGAAACATGTGGATTGAGGTATACAAATGGATCAGTCGCCAGATGGAGACAAAGTCCAGCTACCATAAAACAACAAGAGCACATAACCCTGTGCTTGTGTTATCAGGCAGAGAGATCAGCTGACGAAAAGCAATGAGCATTATTGGGGAGTTCATGATGAAAGCGGCGACTCTTTGCTCTTGGCCGCACGCCATGGGCAACACCACCACCACTACTGCGAGCAGCGTGTGTGTATGCGCGTAGGTGTCGACCAAGATGAAGCCATCCCACCACTGCACGGTGGTCGCCAGCCGGGACGGTAGGCTGTGAGCATGTATTGTTGACACCGCTCATTGCTACAGGTATCCGGCCTTTTGCCAGTGATCTCTTCAGGCCTGCTGGTAAGCCAGAACGACGACTGATCCCGGAGCGGAAGAAAAATGCGGATAGAAAAGAAGACTGGGGAAGAAGACTAACGAAGAGAACCAATACGATTCCGGGCGGACGGGGCCGCACCGGGAGCTTGCGTCGTCGGTCGCATGGGCACGCAAGCCCAGCTGCCTACGCTAGCTTACTGTAGCGTCCATACGACAGTACACACGAACTAGCGATCCAACTCTGCGACTGGACAGGAACCAAACAGTAACAAGAAAAAGGACACAGTTGTTACGCTGAGTATTAGCAGGACATCTGACTAAACAAAGCTCAAGTCTAGAGCATGATGGCTGTAAAAATATTCCGCCACATGTAGGCACACATGCATTCATTTGGTTTGTGGAAATATTTTAAAATTTTACCAGCGCTGGACTGCGCACATTGGCCCATGCACATGTATGACTATGAAGCGCTCTGTCCAACAGTACTGGTCAACGTGCGGTTTGCCTGGGCGGATAATGCTAGCATTATAAGTAGCATTATAGTGTGCGATTTGCAACGAGCATTATGCTAGCATTATAACACTACATTTCCACAAAAGTGGCGCTGTACACATTGCTTAGTTCACAAATTTACATTCAAGAGAGCGCGACGGGACGCTACGTAAAAAAGGACTCCCTTTGATAGGCATCCATTTGCCTCTGGAGAATCCTTGAAAGTCGAAATGTACATGTATAATATCAGCATCGGCGGAAAACGATTTTTGCTTCATTGCTTTGTGATCATTGTAATATCAATGTAAATCCGAAATTAATGATATTTTTCTGATTTTTTAGCAACGCCTCTAGACGTGCATGTACATGTACATGTACATTGTAACTAACTTGTACATATACATTCGCCCTCAATCAGCCGACCTAACCATCAAGTACTAGTATAAGTAATCCCCTACCTTGAAGAAACTTGGCTTCCACTGCCGAAGGAAACCAAGGGAGATTTGATGCGAACGTTTGCTGTTGTCGTCACATCGGAATTGAGAAACACACACCACCGGACACCTACCACAGGCACACAGCCCCAAACTTGAAACAAAATAATAAATTGACATGAGCTGTAACTCTCCTATTTATAGTGAGTATGCTAGGCTGTGCTGCCGCTGGTACAGCGACACTGCTTGGAAGTACTAGTAAGTAGTAAGGTGCTAGATTGTCCCATGGCCCGTCCGTTCATCCAGTTCAGCGCAGTACAGCAGCTCCCGTCTGGTCCTGCCCAGAACATGACTTTCTCGCGCGTGTGTGAAAACCACAGGGATAAGATAAGCGTTTGTACCTTTCCATTGGTGAAAGCCAACAACATTTCTACTGTGGCGAGAGAGTTCCATCGAAACAACTGCGGTCAACTGGTTAGGCACTCCGCCAAGCAGTCATATCAGGGTCCATGTCACGCAGCAGCTGCGTTGCATAATCACTGCTCTAGACCATGTAGACAGCGACGTGACACGTTAGGGTACTCCCCGCGCTTGACGAGCCCTGGAGAGGATGACAATAGTCAACACCCAACAATGGTAAACAAAGCATCAGTCCGAGATGTCGATATGACCATGTTGACGCCTGGTTGTCAACGTCGCTCATGCTGAACGTCTCCTAAGCGATGTACACACGGAGAGATGGCAGTAGACAACAAGTCGTTTTTCAAGGTTTCACGTCCCTAAGCCAGCATTCGCAAACCCCATTGCGGCCATTCACACATTACTAGTCTTCGAACAAAAAAGCAAACTTGATTTCTCTGCTCTAGACGTCATGTTATTGTTAGGTCCACGAAAATGTCAAAATTAATTATGTGGCAGTGTGAAACTGTACAACTAATCGCAACGAACTAAGGCAAGCGAGAATTCGAGTAAATGTGCCGTCAAGTTCTGCAGGAACGCGATCAGAAGAATCTGGGCAAACGAAAATGTGCAAGATGAGTGTGCATGTGTGGAGAGTACTTTGATGTACACTGTACATGACTAGTGTACATTTAGGTTGTGAAAAGTGTTGGAGAGAAGTGGAGGCCTGCGTCTGTGTGTGGATGTGTTCGCACGATAATGAAAAATAATGATGCGTAACTTGATTCATTATGTGTGAAGTATTGTATTTTGTACGCATCCTTATTAATTCTTACATCGCAAATCAGAGGGAAGTGGAGGGCTGCAACTGTGTGTAGATGCGCTCGCACAATATTGAAAGAGAATGACGTGTAGCTGGGATCCATATTATGTGTGAAGTATTGTGTGTAGTGCACATCACATTCTTACATTCGTACATGGCAAGTCAAACGGACAATCATGCCCAGTGTTAACACTGTTATGTACACGATGGACAGGGAGAAAGGAGAGCAAAGGGCAGGATGGCTTGGATAAGAGGTTTGAAGAAAACAGTGAGGCCGAGGATGTCTATTGGATCATCCTATGTTGTCTAGCCTCCTTCTATTATTCTTTCATAATTATGCTCCTGTAGTACATGTATATGTACAGTGTAGGTCCCGCTGTAGTAGCCGCTGTACCCCCGGGCCATCATTAACCCCCCGGGCCATCATTAACCCCCCGGGCCATCATTAACCCCCCCGGGCCATCATTAACCCCCCCCCCGGCCATCATTAACCCACCGCTCCGCGATTTGTCGGCTTCCCTACTTGCTAGATAGATTTTTTATATTGATTGTGGACTGATCTCAATCATAATAATCTTCCTTATTCGCCATGGGCCATCGTGGATATCAAGAATGACAATGATACTCCTAGCATTCTTCATAAAATTATTGAACATTCACTGGATGCTTGAAGTGCATTGTGATGTTGTGGGGCAGGACTTTAAAGAGGGGAGGGGGGCGTGGCACAACAGACCAGCAACACATGCAGGTAGAGATTGGCTACCGATCTTCGCCTGTACTGGCCTCTGTGATTCCGATTTAGTGGACCCATGGTGTCATTGCTCAGTGATCTGCAATCCGCGACCTGAGCAGCGAGCAGCGAGCTCACGGCGCCCCGCACAATACAGCCCCGTATGAAGACAGCTCTTTCTAATTCTAGGTACGATAGTAGAACCAGCTAGCACACAACATTTCCCAACGTATGGGCCTGGCCTAAATCTGGCTTTGGAAAATTTATCAGTTTTCATTGCTATCAGGTCCGGCCTCATTTTCTCTGTGCTGCGCTGATGAGTCTACAAAGGACGAAACAGCATGCTGTGTGCACATTGAGTAGAGTATTGCGCTCCAGCTCTTGTGGTAGTTGATCACTCTCATGTGGGGTAGTGCCTTTGCTGTTTGCATTACGCAGAGCTCACCGACTTGTCAGTTTGAGCACTCTGGCAAGGAACATGACACGTCCGTTCGGGCCTGGTTTAAACCTGGCTTTGGAAAATTTATCAGTTTTCATTGCTAGCAGGTTCCGCCTCATTTTCTGTGTGCTGCGCTGATGAGTGCAGAAAGGCCGAAACAGCATGCTGACCGGAGATTGAGTTCATTCATATAATATAGGGCAGTCCCCGCAGACTCAAGGCTTACCCACCCGTTATGCGTTTCATCTACATCTACATCTACATCTACATCTACATGGCTATTGTTAGTGTTGTATCTATGACAACGTAGTACAGTCAACTTGGCTAATAACGACTGCGGATATAACGACAATTCGCGAATAACGACAGAATTTCCATGCCCAGAGCAAAGTCCCATACCACTGTAATACATTATAATGAGACTTCGGGTATAACGACACTTCGCGAATAAGGACACCTTTTTGATGCCCCGCCGAATGTCGTTATAAGCGAAGTTGACTGTACATGAACACACGTACATGTACCTCTGCAAGTCTGCACATTTCAAATTCAAACCTGATTGGATTTCAAGTGTTCTCTGGGAAGCTTCACAAATTTGTTTTTAAAGTGATCCCATCACTGTCCACATCACTGCCACTGGGTGCACAGAGCAAGGCCTAGTGCACACCATTGAACACCATACAGGGAAAGTTGTGACTGGACTATGCACAGCACGAACACGTACATGCACATATCCGTAATAATTTTTTGCAGAATGTGAAACCATTACTACGCCTGACACATGGACACGAGCAGAAATCGACGCTCAGAAAGAAAAGAAAGAAAAAAACGTGAAAAATCAGAGACAAGTAGCTGCGTATTACTATTACTACGACCAAGAAACATGTGTACACAAATAGATCAGTCGCCAGATAGAGCAAAGTCCAGCTACCATAAAACAACAAGAGCACATAACCCTGTGCTTGTGTTATCAGGCAGAGAGATCAGCTGACGAAACGCAATGAGCCTTATTGGGGAGTTCATGATAAAAGCGGCGACTCTTTGTTCTTGGCCGCACGCCACGGGCAACACCACCACCAATACTGCGAGCAGCGTGTGTGTATGCGCGTAGGTGTCGACCAAGATGAAGCCATCCCACCACTGCACGGTGGTCGCCAGCCGGGACGGTAGGCTGTGAGCACATATTGTTGACACAGCTCATTGCTAGAGGTATCCGGCCTTTTGACAGCGATCTCTTCTGGCCTACTGGTAAGCCAGAACGACGACTGATCCCGGAACGGAAGATAAATGCGGATAGAAAAGAAGACTGGGGAAGAAGACTAACGGTGAAGAGAACCAATACGATTCCGGGCGGACGGGGCCGCACCGGGAGCTTGCGTCGTGGGTCGCATGAGCACGCAAGCCCAGCTGCCTACGCTAGCTTACTGTAGCGTCCATACGACTCTACACACGAACTAGCGATCCAACTCTGCGACTGGACAGGCACAAAAAAGCAAGCAGAAAGACGTACATTATGCCATATTCTCTCTCTCACTCTCTCACTCACTCTCTCTCTCTCTCTCACTCTCTCTCTCTCTCTCTCTCTCTCTCTCTCTCTCTCTCTCTCTCTCTCTCTCTCTCTCTCTCTCTCTCTCTCTCCAGGTAGCGCTCTCCCCCTTTGAAATTCGCTTCCATAGAATTGGGCACCATTGACAACAACAACAACAACAACAACAACACCTCCGCATTTACCTAACATGTACAGTGCGTGTTCCAACAAGAACAACAACAAGAAGTAGCAAATCACCAGTAACAGCACAGCACTACACTCTGGAATCAGCCAGCAAACCCAATCGTCATTCATGATTCTACCCATTGACTCATGCACAGGTACAGTGACAGTGCTTACCTTGGACAAACATTGGTTTCCACTGCAGACGGAAACCAAAGGAGATTTTGATGCGAACGTTAGCTGTTGTCGTCACATCGAGAACTTGAGATCTTTTGATGAAGAAAAAAAACAAAACAAAAGCACCGGACACCACCGGGCACACAGCCCCAAACGTTTGAAAAAAGATACCGAAAAATGTGCGCTCCTCCCGTATTTATAGGCGAAATGTTCGGCTGTACCAGTATAGATAACCAGTTACCTGCTGCTAGCGTTGGAGGTAACTGGTTAGCTACTCGCAGGCCGCGTGCGAGGCTCACGTCGGCGACTTGATCGTGACTGTGCTATCAAGACAGTAGTCAGTAAAACACGTGCGTGCGACAGTCTCTGCGATAAGGCCTCCGACATACTTTTCCTGGCCTTGGTGAAGCCAGGATCAATCGGTACGGAAGACTCAGTCGTACAGTGTTGACGCTGTTTTTCCAAGTCTGGTAGAGTTCCGCCGAAACAGCTGTGGTCAGCTGGTTAGGCACAGTTCCAACAAACTAACTTAAACAGCTCCCTGTGCCATTGTGTGCGTACGTGTACATGTAGCTGGAGACAGCGAGCCTGCGAGTCCCTATACTAGGCCCAAGCTAGGGTATTCCCCGCATGCCGTTCTACCTTGCACGAAACACGATGTCGTCTGGCGATCTTGATGTGCAATCATGTGCTTCTTCTACAGCCAGGCACACGTGACTCGACTCAGGTATTCGCCTAAAACTCTGCTTTCGTCCCATACTGGGCTTGGAATGGGTGGTGCTGGACACCAGAATTATTTGGCGATAACACACCAGATAGGAGTAGCTCTGGCTGGATAACGCCGGCAGAACAATTGGCAGAATTGCCAGGCAGTTCATCTGGTGTGATTCATGCAGGTTCGGTGTGTGGATAAAGAAATGGAGCAGTTTTCAAGGAAGTGCCTGTCGTGACGTCAGTACATGTAACTGATTTAAACTACTAAAACTCCTTATAAGAAGATTTGTATCGCTCTGCCAATTTCAATGCTTTTCGAGCAATACTAGTATCCGGTAAGGGCTAGTTGGGGAAATCCAATGGTATTGGGTTTGCATCGTTATTGCACTATATTGCCTTGGTATTTGCCTCTGAAGGCAGCCTTTCTTCCCTGCTGCTTCGTGATCAACCCTTGGCTCCTGCGTTTGGCGAATTGGTAGAAGTTTTTGTAGGTGCACAATAAACCCGTCAAGGTGACCGCTTGTCCCAGAAGACCACTTTAAAGACCAGGACCAAGGGATGCTACATGTACAGCCTACAGTACATGTACATGTATATCCAAATGACCCTGGATAAAGAGACCTCCTGGTGCAGGGTACAGTAGTAGAGTAGAGAGCACGTTTTGAACATCCCTTGGGTGGCCGTTCTACATACCGGTAGGTCTTACTGTGCAAGTACAGTCATGATTGTATCCGTGTTTTAATAACATCCAACACGCAAACAGAGGACGTAGACCCAGTCCAGCGCACACTGTTGCCACTGCCGGTACTAGTCATTGTTCACTCTTCCGACTACACCCTCCAAGCCAAAGTGAAGTACATGACGGGTAGTGATTTTAACTCCTCGACAGTTACCGGTAGAGTCAACTACGGTACAGATGTACATGTGGTGCAACTACATGACATACAAGTACAAGGAGGAAAACTTCATTCAGCTAGCGGAGAGTGCTCAACACAATAATGTGGAGAAATATTAGTCACATTATTTAAAAGGCACAACAACAGAGGTTCAGTTGTCTGATGATTGCCTTAGCATTTAGCTACGTGCATGAAACGCAGCGTTACAACGTATGTTTCTATAATTGGTGAAACCATTCTTTTTGACCTTTGTGGTTACGCTCCGCCCCTGTGGTGTTGAGCACTGTTGAAACCTGGGTATACCCACTTATGTGAGGTTTACAGATGTGTTGCAAGTAACAGTTCGCAACTCAAAGACAAAGATTAGTAATTACTAGTAAGTTCCTTGCGCAATGCAATCATCAAGCGACTGACATACAAGTACATGTATGTAGCGCAGATCGCATCGCGTCTCAGTTAGACTATACCGTGAGGGCATGTACTGTCGACAATGACAGAGACGGTCGATTATTGTATTCATGCAGAGAGAGGCAGTAAACCATGGTAAACACGCCGCGCGTAGATCTACGTGCGGGTGCTTCTGGCCACTTGCCAAGGCCACTGCTGTCTGATACAACTACATGATTGTACGTGATTGTAGCTAAGACGTCAACTGATATGCAGTGATAAGCTGTTCGACACTCTTCCGCACAGACTAGGCTAGGGTGGCAGGGACAGTGGTACATGTACTTGTAGCTCTGTCAGTGAAACGTGCCAAGTTTGTCCCCCGTGGGCCGTGGCACTCAGTACCAGCTGTCACCGATCAGCTGGTTGCCAATATTTTCCCTAGGCTAGAGCTAGTGGTGCTTTCCCTGTAGCAAGTCCGCGACAAGATTTTTTTCGCTAGACTTTTGTGTGCGTGCCGTGTGCGTGTGCATTGATTCTGTGTGTGTGTGTGTGTGTGTGTGCTGTGGTGTGTGTGTGTGTGTGTGTGTGTGTGTGTGTGTGTGTGTGTGTGTGTGTGTGGTGTGTGTGTGTGTGGTGTGGTGTGTGTGTGTGTGTGTGTGTGTGTGTGGTGTGGTGTGTGTGTGTGTGTGTGTGTGTGTGTGTGTGTGTGTGTGTGTGTGCGGTGTGTGTGTGCGGTGTGTGTGGTACATGGTGTGTGTGTGTGTTTGCGTGTGCGTGTGCGTGTATCCAGTGCCCTGCAGATTTGTGTGATTCTTTTGCAACGGGCGTACATGTGTGGAAAGGTGTGTGTGTGTGTGTGCGTGTGTGTGTGTGTGTGCGTGTGTGTGTGTTTTATGTGTATGTGTGTGTGTGTGTGCCTGATGAGCGGATGCCATGGACGCTATTGTTTGGCACATTGCTGCCGCCACGTCCAGCGTGTGGTCGGCGGAAACGATGGCGAATACACATCACCGACGAGTCCTGGTTTTACACAGCGCTGGCAAGATCTGAGTGGCGGCAATGTTATCAAGCAATACAAACAGCTGAGAAACCGGCCCAAGACGGCAAGAGATAGTTTGCGAGGTGTACCAGCGTGCATTTTCCCGGCAACAAGATATTGCTCGCTACAAATCCACCATGCAATGGCATAAACCAGTCCAGCAGCAAACCAACAGCCGCCAATGTTCCCAGTGTCATCGATGGTTTCGGAATTCGGGTGGCATTGCAGTCCATCGCCGTGCCCAGTCCAGTTCTGTTCAGAATGTTGCTGATGCCAAAGGCGCCTCACCTGTACACCTAAATGTACATGTACATGTACAATCAGTCATTATACATAATAATAATAATAATAATAATACATGTACAATGTATAATTATGTACATTTATGTAAACAATAGGAGGACAGAGAAAGTGTTTTTACTCCGAGTTTCACGCACTAAGCGATCATCAGAAAACAGTTGGACAGCCTGGAACCTCTCTGTTGTACTTGTACATGTACATGTATGTATTCGGAAGGTTGCCATGCTGTGCCGCTTACTGTCGCATTTGTGAACGTTACCGCAAGTCGATCCGCGGTTTTGCTCTCCACAACTGCAATCGATCAACCAGGCGCCCACTGCTGATGAAAGGGACAAGTTCCAATTACAATGTCAAAGTTGCCTGAGGCGTTTTAAAAGGCGAAACGACTTATCCCGCTACCATTACCAACGCTATTGGCTCCTCTCGTCTTCGTCTCGCTCAACGAGAACCATATGACCTTCATACAATAAAAATTACAAAAAAATCATGTCAGTGTTTTTTTCTCTACAAAATCCACATACATGTACCGTAAAATCCCGCCAGAGCGCCCCGTCTCTCCCATCCGCCCCTCCCTGACTTCTTGTCAGGGACGTGATTGATTGTATCTTCGTATGACTCTGTTGCAGTCTGTGATGCCGTACTGCACTGCAGACGCGTGCTCGACCCCGTTGGAAATGTACGCAACAGTGCCCACCCTCTTGACCAGGGATCGTACAAAACCCTGCGTTTTGTCGGGTCTGTTCGACTCCTGGCTCTTGACCTTTGGTCGGTGTACGAGATGCACGAACAGTTTTCGTAGGGTGAGTACTTTTTCATATAGCACTGAATGCGGCAAGCAGGACTCGCCCATCCGCCCCTCCCCACCTGAAGCGTCGAGGAGGTAGGGGCGCTCTGGCGGGATTTTACGGTACATGTATCTCCAGACTGAGACAGATCCTGCCAGCAATTCTTTCGGCAAAATATCGAAGAATTGAAATAGCGGAAATTGCCGGCAAAATCGGAGCAAAATATCGAGATGTTGGGGTAAAATCGATGCCTGATACTTGGATTTCCTTGTTTCCGAGTTATTATTATTATTATTACACAATCTCATGGCATGTGACAAGCATAGCTAATGCAGGGACAGAATCCCCTGAGACAAGGGCGTTGAGCCAGCCACGGCAATAGTAAGCTAGGAAAACAAAACAAATAGTAATTAAAGCAAAAAATGAATGGAAAATTACAAAGAAAAACGATTAACGGAAGTGAGCACAATCAAAATTCGTGCATCACCCAGGTATTCGAGAATGTTCTTCGATAATAATTATTGCGTCTAGTTCAGTTGTGATAGTAGATCTTTAAACTGACAATAAGAGAACAAGTTTTCAGACCGTATGGTAATGATAACCAATGAGAGTAGCCGGAAAACAAGGGGGACTTTAGATACTGGGCTGACTTTTAACAAGAGGCAGGATGAGCGCGTTACGGGTTGAGCTTGTCGAAAACCAATTGTACTTCATCATGTGTGAAAGGGTTTTATGAAGAAATATTTTATGAACCAGCATACAGAGATGGTGCTTATGACGAACGGAGAGAGGAGAAGTGTGTGCAAGTCGATAAAGGGCATCCGATGGAAAATATCGATCCTTGTTGGAAAGAATTTTACATATAAATCTATGGTGGACTTCTAATTGGTTCAGAGTTGCGTCAGAAAGGCCACACCAAGCGGTATCGCAATAGTCGAATATAGGGAGAATATAGCACTGATAAAATAATAGTTTACACTGGATGGGCAAATGAGTGCAATGTGGTTGTAGTACCCCTAATGCTGAACTGGTTCGCTTGCATACACAGTTGACGTGTGCAGCCCAAGAGAGTTTGCAGTCAAACATCACACCGAGATGTTTGTGCTGAGTAACAACACGGATAGGCATAGTCGAGTCAGGGAAGTATAATGGTTGATCAGGAGGGGATGAAGAAATATACATGGCTTCTGTCTTGTCTAAATTGGGCTGGAGTTTCCACGTTTGCATCCACATGACAGTGCTGTTGATGCGATGCTGCATGGTAAGGAGTAATTGTGCAGGGGAGGAATCAGAACAGATAAGGCCAGTGTCATCCGCATACAAACTAACATCGGGGACAACTGAAGGTAGGTCATTAACGTAAAGCAAGAATAACAAAGGACCTAGAATGGAACCTTGGGGCACTCCAGACGTTACAGGGAGGGGATCAGACAAGAAATAGGACAAGCGAACAGCCTGAGAACGAGCTGACAGAAACGATGATATCCAACGCAAGGCAGCATCCTCCACCCGGAAGGTGACCTCCAACTTGGCAAGTAAGCCACGATGCCATGCGGTGTCGAATGCCTTAGCCAAGTCGAAAAACACCATTCCCACGTGCTCCCCACGGTTCCTCTTTGTCGCTATGTCTTGGACAAGTCGAGTCACCTGGTATTGAGTTGAGTCACCACGGCAGAATCCCGACTGAGCTGGTGAGAGAGCCGGAGCGATGTGCAGGTAGAGGGAATTGAATACAATACGCTCACAAAGTTTGGAAACTGTGCGCAACAGAGAGATGGGGCAGTAGTTTGCCGGGCAAGCA